AAGATCTAAGGGTCACTATTCAAAGCCAGCCTGGGCAGGAAAATCTGAAGACACATCACTAGTGAACCATCAAAAAGAAAGCCAAAAGTGGAGCTATGGCTAAAATTATATTTAGCTATGGCTAAATGCTAGCCTGGAGTAAGAAAAAAAAAAAGCATGGGGGTAATGATATAAAGTATGACTTAAGGGGTTGGGTTTATGGCTTAGTGGTAGAGTGCTTGCTTAGCCTGCGTGAAGCCCTGGTTCAATTCCTTAGCACCACATACACAAAAAAAGCCAGAAGTAGTGCTATGGCTGGAGTGGTAGAGTTCCTTAAGCAAAAGAAGCTCAGGAATAGTGCCTACGCCCTGAGTTCAAGCCCCAGAACTGGCACAAAAGAAAATATGACTTGATTGAACTCCGGCCAGATAGAATTTAGGATATATCATAGAGAGGCAGGCTTCCCCCCCCCCCCCCCCACCAGGTACTGGGCCTTGGACTCAGGACTTTTTGCTTGCTCAGCCAGCACTCTATCACATGACCCATGCCTCCAATCCAGCATTTTGCTAGTTAATTGGAAATAGAGTCTCAAGGGCTTTTCTGCTGGGGGTTGGCTACAAACAACTGTCCTTGGAACCTCCACTTTCTGAGTAGCTAGGATTATAGGCATGAGCCACTGGAACCCTGTTCTATTCCAGCCTAATTAAGTTTGTAGTTCTGTACCATTGCATGCAGCACAGCCCTTTAAAACAAATTAGTAAGCTCCATCTGTCTTTCTCTGTCTCTCTCTTTCTTCTCCTTCCTTCTTCCCTTCCTTCCTTTTTCTTTCTTCCTTCCTCCTCTCTTGGTGCTTCACAAATTCAACACATGTCAAACCAATGTCCTAATTTGCAGTGAGGAAAATAACCTTTGTCTTGGCTAGCAAATGCATTCCGTCTGGCAGTGGTGAGCCTGAGTTTATAGAACACAGGAGCCAGTGATCAAAGACTTTTCTTCAGGAGTCTGACTCGCAGCCCACTCCCAGCCAGCCCAGGCTCTAGTAATCTAGCTTGTTGCTTTCCTTGTCAAAACTTTTTTCTCCTTGAAGGAACCTCAGTAGGGCACAGAGCGGCCATACCAGTGGTCTCTGCTTTGGCCAGGGGATGTGTCTTAGAGATTGGTAACTTCCTGATGGTAGCTTGCAATCCGGTGATGGAAGTACTTATGCCAGGGGAATTGGCACACAGGCACACACACGCGCACACACACACACCACCATCACCAATACTAGCGCCCATTCACATGTGCCCTTCTGAGCTGTTCTTACCTAGAGGGTGCAGGCTCCTCTCCAGCCTCTGGCTCCCCCATTTCTTGGGAAGCAAGATAATCACCTGGCTGGTCCCTTGGGGAGTGGGGGGGCACACAGGACGGATCACCTCCAAGTCATGTGCTTGTCAGAACCACTGAGCTTCACCCTCCTGATCTCTGGGTCCGGTTAAAAATAGCAGACTCTGTGTTCCATTGCACCTGCCAGCTCCTTTTTGGAATTTTGCCTGATTCCAGGAACTTCTCTGCTGTGTCATCCGCACCCCCCCCCAGTTCTCCCTTCTGGATAGAAGGCAAAAGTGTTACTGGAAGGTTCGGCAGGTTTTCTGCTCCGAAGAATGAAGATTCTGCACAGGGCTGTGGGGTCCAGGTAGGATTGTTTGTTTGCCTACAAGTGAAACACCCAACTGGGCAGGCTTCTTCCTGCCAGGTCTGCTCTGCTGGCCCTGCCTGTCCCAGGCACCCAGGAGAATGTGTCCAGGTGGAGAGAGATGCAGGTCGTTGCTAGGAAACCTTTCAGAGATCCCTCTAGAGAGGGGACAGATGCCAGCAGGAGGTAGAATGGGACAGAAATAGTAGACAGCCTGATAAAGTCTTCAGAGACCCAACTCTGCATCTCTGATGGAAACCACAGACTAGGGGTGTGGCTCAGAGGCAGAGCACTTGCTGGCTCCAACTTTGAGTCCCGCTACTCAGCACTGGTGGCTCACGCCTATCATCCCAGCTACTCAGGAGGCTGAGATCCGAGGATCACTGTTCAAAGTCAGCCCTGGAAGGAAAAGTCTGTGAGGCTCTTCTTTCCAGTGATCCATCAAAACGTCAGAAGTGGAGCTGTGGCTCAAGTGGGAGAGCACTAGCCTTGAGCACAAAAACTCAGGTATAGCGCCCAGGCCCCGAGTTTAAACCCCAGGACTGGCACACACCAGTGCACACGCGCGCACACGCACACACACACACACACACACAAACCAAAAGAGTTCAAATTGTGACTCTTCTATTGATTTTGTAAAGTAGCTACAGGAGCCATCTGTAAAATGGAAATGATCATTAATACCCAATTTTCCAGTGGGCTCGGAGGACAGAACCAGCTTACAGATGTAAAGCACTTAGCCTGGAGATGGAAAAACAAATCCAAATCAGCCTCCAGTAGCCTTCCTGCCCAGAGGGGGATGTGGATCTGTGTTTCGCTGTCTAGTGTGGATTTAGGGGCCCCAGCCCAGGGGCAATTCCAGTGACAGACTCTAAAAGATGCCAGAAAGCTGTGAGGATCTTTGTTGATGTCTTTAGAACGGATTTGACCCCCAGGACAGTCTCCTGGGAAGGGGGAGGGCTGGGCAACCTTTTCTGTTTCCAGACACAGAAACTAGGGCTGGGATGGATGGTGGCCTACTTTGTCAGGGATCCAAAGTGAGCCAGAAATGTGAGCGGGCAGCACAGTACGCGTCACAGCTCCTGGACCCCAAGCAGAGGAGATGACTGGCTGAGTTTCCTCCGGGTGAAGTAGGCCCTCTGGGCCCTGGCTATACCTGTGTGCAGGTGTCAGGACCTGGGGAAAGCCAGCCTGGGTTGCTCCACGGGGGTCCATTGGAATGTAGCAGGCTGTGAAAGGGGCTGGGTCAGAGCGTGGGGTGCAAAGGCTGGCAGGTGTACCCCATCCCTCCCAACAGCACTCCAACGATGCAGGGTCAGCACAGCCCCAGGGGAGGCCTATTTTGTGCAGTTGTCCTTGCTGGGCACCAGGAGGGACATAGAAAGTTCCAGGCTCTGAGCTGGAAACCTCCCAGTGAATGCTGACCCTTGTACAGCTTGTTTTTGAGGTGGGGATGAGTGCTGCTAGATCAAAACCAACCAATTTGACACACAAATGCAGTCATTAAATCAACAAATAGATGCTGGTGCGTGCGTGCGCGCGCACACACACACACACACACACACACACACACACACACACACACAGAGTCACATGGAGGAAATGGACAAGACCTGATGTCCCTGCCAACTACAGGGTAAAGATCCAGTGTCTAGAATCCAAGGAGGGGGGTGTAGGGGAAAGGGAAAACAGGAATTAAAGCAGCAGCTATGAGCTTCCTGCCTCAGTTTACCATCAGGAAAAATACACTTTCTTTGTTTTAGCAGTTCCCAAAGAGGGTTTTTCATGGAAAATAAGTTCAACAAAGCTCCTTTGGACAACAGACTGTGTCACTGTAATTGCACCTCGGGGTTGCCATTATTTATTTAACTTATTGGGCCTGGAGTTGCAAGCAAGGGCAGGAAAGAGCTTCAGTGTATTACAGAAAGCCGGAGGCCGGGGACTCTCGCTGTGGCTCCAGTGGTAGAGCGCTAGCCTTGAGCTGAAGAGCTCAGGGACAGCGCCCAGGCCCAGAGTTCAAGCTCCACGACCGACAAATAAATACATACATATATTACAGAAATGTGGGAAGAAATGTGGTCTCTCTCCTCCTTCCCTGCCCTTCACCTCTCTTTATTTGCACTATAATTACATTTATTTATTTGTGTGCTGGTCCTGGGGCTTGACCTCAGGGCCTGGGCACAGTCCCTTCACTTTTGCTTTATTCAAAGCTAGTGCTCTACCATTTGAGCCACAGGTCTACTTCTAAGTTTTGTTGGTTAACTGGAGATATAAGCGTCACGGACTTTCCTTCCTCCAAGAGCTTCAATCCTCAGATCTCAGCCTCCAGAGTAGCTAGGATTACAGGTGTGAGCCACTGACACCTAGCCTTATTATTTATTTCTTTGCCCTTCCTGGGGCTTGAACTCAAGGCCTGGGCGCTGCCCCTGAGCCTCTTTGTGCTCAAGGTGAGAGCTCTCTCTGGAGCCACAGCGCCACTTCCGGCCTCTTCCGAGTAATGGAGATAAAGGGTCTCATGGACTCTCCTGCCAGGGCTGTCTTCTAACCTCGATCCTCCAATCTCGGCCTCCTGAGTAGCCAGGATGACAGAGGCCTGGTTGTCTTTATCCTTAAACAGCTAGTTTCTACCAGGCTTTTCTTCCTAAGGAGAAGATAGAAGCTGCCCGGGGCATGGGACTGGGTTGGTGGTGGTTCTTTTAAGGGGTGTGTGTGTGTGTGGTGGGGGAGCACATCAGGGAAGAGAGGGAATCGAACCCGTGAACGTAGCACTGCAGGACCTGCGGGGAGGGGGGGGCAGGCACTGAAGAAGGAAAATAAACCCAACATTAAAAAAAAAAAAAAAAGCCTCCGACTCTTAAGAAACAAGCCTGGCCGGTCCGGGGGTCCCCGTCTCGATCGTGGGGTGTCCGTCGGCCTCGGGGGATTGGGGGGGGGGAGGCCTGGCTGGGAGGTCCGGGTTCACCTTTCCCCCGCGGGGCAGAGGGGGCGCTGCACCCCGGGGCGCGGGGCCGGGGCGGGGCCGGGGCGGGGTGCGGCGGGCCGGGCCGGGCTGGGCCGTCCCCGCCGTCCCGGGCCTCCGGGGCGGACCGCGGTCTCCCGGGTCTGCGCGCGCCGGTGCGGCCCCGGCCCGGGCCGCCGCGGTGGGAAGTCGCGCTCCCGCCGGGACGGGAGGCGGCGGCGGCGGCCGCGCCCGTTGTTTGCCGCCGACCCCGCGCGCGCGCGCGCCGGGTGGGCGCAGGGGCGGAGTGCGCTCGGCGGGGGACCCCGGCTTCTCCGCACCCCGCGACCGGGGGGGGGGGCGCGCTCGGTTAACCCCGGAGCCTCCGGAGCGCCGGGCCGGGGCGAGATGGCCGCGGGCGCCCGGGCGCCGCAGCCCCGCGTCCTGCTGTGCCTCGGGGCGCTGCTGGCCCGCGCGGTGCCCGCAGGTAAGGGCCGGGGACCCGGGGGCGGAGGGGAGGGGAGAGTCTCCGCCTGCGTTCCCACTTCCTCGTGACTTCGCCTCGCGTGTTTCCCCCGTGGCGATGGTGCCGGGACGAGGCGCCGCGGTGTCCCGGCCGCGGCCCCGCTGCGCCGGCCCCGCCGCCCCGGCCCCGGCCGCGCCGCGCCGGCCTCGCACCTGCGATCCGCGCGGTCTCCCCCCACCCCCTCCACCCCCGTTCCAACAAACTCCTCCGGGGAACTAACTTCAGATCCCCACTGCCCGGCACTGGCCGAAAACAAATGAAGAAAAAGCCTTTGTTAGGGACGAGGCGTCGGGTGCTTCCTCCCCGCCGGAACCGGCTGCGTCCCGCGTTTCACCCGCCGTCCGCGGCGCGTCCCGCCCCGGCGGGCGGCCCGGCGCTGGCCAGCAGGTGGGGAGGGCGCCCGAGGGGCCCCGGGAAGTGGGGCGCGATCGGGGGGCGCAGGGCGAGTCTCTGCGCTGGCTGGAGCTGCGCGGGTCCGAAGTGGTGCCTGGAGCTTCCTGTCTGCAAGGGAGAAAAGTTCTTTTAAAGTGTTGGACTTTTCCTATGTTTTTTAAAAAATTTTCTTCCTAATAGTCAGAAAAATGCATGCCATTTCCTGTAACCCCCCATTTCCAAGTCATCTGGAAAAATGAGAAGGTTGATCTGTTTTCCCACCAGGAGCTAGGCGCGGTCACCCTGTGGTTGTTTAGTTTTTATCTAGGTGTATCTCATCTTTTGGGAGAATCAGGAGGGGTGGAGTGGGGGAGGGTCGGTGGGCCTTGAGAGCAACCTGGCATTCATACTTCATCTCCAGGTCACATGGATACTTCCGCTTATTACCTGTGCATGGTATACTCTGGAGTATTTATGGGGAAAGTTGCTAGGAAAAACACAACGTTTGGGTGTAAGGCTAACTCTGTAAATAGTAATACGCTAACAGCTTCCAGACCCCTGATAATGGAATAGCCCAGTGCATTTGTAAGGCCTCCCTTTTAAAAAAAATGTATTGCTCCCCACTTTATTACATGTTTTGAATCCAACAAGGGACTCCTAGACATCGTGAGGACTTCAGTGGCACAAATGTTTCTGCATCCTATTTTCCCATTCTGGTGTGCAAGGCCAGACTAAAATCCTTGAGACCTGGAACATCTGAGATGTGTGTGACAGCCTCACATCTTCTGGTGACATCTGTGTGGACCTTAAATTAGCTTACACTTGCTGAAGCTCACATTCTGTCAATAACAAAACTAGGGGATCCAGGGCCCTCATGAATGGAACTTGTGTTGGATGACTGTGGCTACCCGTTCTGTGCCAGGGCCAGACATCACTAATCAATGAGCCAGAATAGCTTCAGCTACTTCTCTTGATTAAAATAATCTCTGAGGTAGTTAAGACAAACAGAGCAGGTAAAGCCAGGAAGAGGAGTGCCCTGTCTTCAGACGGTTTCTTCTGTGACCATGTTGTGCTCTTTCTTGGAGAAGAAAATGTCCGCCAAGTTCTGAAGTTTAAAATTTTACCAGGGACTTTCCAAGCTGCTGTTCCTTTATTCCTTGGTGCGGCATCAGGAAAGGGACAAATCTGCAGAGCTCAAGAACACTTATTGCACCTGGAATTCCACAGTTCTTTCTTTGCCTCCTCAGTGGACACCTGAGAACCTGGTTTCCCAGCCTGATTGTTAGAAAATGACCCTCCCCTGCTTTCCAGAGTGCTCCTCATGAAACTTTTTTTTTTGGCAGTTTGGGAGTCTCTAATATTAGGTCTCATTGTCCAGTTAGTGGCTTAGATTTTCTTTTTGCAATTCAATCCCGGCTTGGGAACAATAAAAGATGGAAAGAAAATCGGAACTAAAGTCATTTTTCAAGAGAAGCCCCTTCTAATCAGAGCAGACCAAATACAGGTCAAGTGTCATGGTGTCCTCCTGTAATCCCAGCTTTAGGAGAGGAGAGGTAGTAGCAGGAAGATCAGGAGTTTGTGACCCTGTCTCAAAAACAAAAGGGCAGAAGGCTTGGCTTGGTCCCCCATTAAAAAAAAAAAAAAGACCAATGCAGATATATAGCATTCTGTCTGTCTGTCTCCCTCTCTCTCTCATTTTGTTGTCCTTCCTGGGGCTTGAACTGAACCTGGGCACTGTCCCTGAGCTTTTTTTTTTTTGGTCAGTGGTGGGGCTTGAACTTGGGGCCTGGGTGCTGTCCCCCAGCTCTTTTGTTCAAGGCTAGGACTCTACCACTTTAAGCCACAGCACCACTAGCGGTTTTCTGAAAGTCTCACTGACTTTCCTGCCTGGGCTGGCTTTGATCCAGGATCCTCAGCTCTCAGCCTCCTGAGTAGCTCAGATGACAGGCCTGAGCCAACAGCACCAGGCTCTTTTCTCTCTCTTTTCTCTTACAAATGGGCCTGACTCCGCAGAGGGAGATGGCATCTTGTTTTGCTGGTTCATTGAGACATAATTTACATACCAGGAAACCCACCCTGTGAGAGCGTGCAGTTCTGTGGTTTAGAGTTCATCCACAGGGCTCTGCAACCATCACCACGAATTGATTCCAGAGCATCCTCAGCCCAAACCCACTCCCCCCCTACCCCTGCCTCCCACACTGGGTGTTCTTTGTGAAGAGGTGGGACACTTGAGCTCTTCTCCCCAAAATGGGCTTTTTGTCTTGTCACTCAGCAATGCCTGATACCACAGTACTAGTTGTCTTTCAGCTGTCGGCTTTGCTTGAATATCAGAATTACCTGTGGAGCCTGGGAAAGGGCCACTGTTTCTGGTTTATGGGTGTATGCGCCCACACACACATACACACACACACACACACACACATGTACTGGTATTAGGGGTAAAACTTAGGGTGTCTAGCTCTTGTTTGGCTTTTCTACTTGAGGCTGGTATTCTACCACTTGAATCACACCTCCACTTTTGGCTTTTTGCTGGCCAGTTGGAGGGAAGAATCTTAAGGACTTCTCTGCCTGCCTGGGCTGGCTTCAAACCACCACCCTCAGATCTCAGCCTCCTCAGTAGTTAGGGTTACAGGTGTGAGCCACCAGAGCCCAGCTGGGTTTCAGTGTTTTGGAAGCACTGATCATTTGCTTTCTCACCTAGCTGCTACTTCTGGTCAAGGCTTTTGGATAGCTTGTTCCTCTGATCCGTCCCCAGCTTTGCGTGTCCGGGGCCTACCTGTCCATGCCCTTGGTCGGCTTCCTGGAAGAAGTCTGGCCTGGTACACTCCCCATCTGAATTTCCTGTTTATCCGCTCAGTTGTAGTGGTTGGTTTTATTATGTTTTCCCTTCCAGCCTGTGAGCTCCTGAGGTTTCTATCCAATGTGTCTACCAGCAGATGCCCAGAGCCCAGCCCAGAGTCCATGTGATGGGGGGGGCGGGGGGCTCAGTAGAGTCCCCTACTGTCCACCCGTTCCTGCATGGAGCTGCCCAGAGAGCTATCACCACATTAAACCTGAGCTGGGAAGACAGAGGCCAGCTGGGTTTCTAGGCAAATGAAACCATATGGGTTCTGCGTTGGGCCATCCCATCACAGCGGACACCCCAGCTGGCTGGCTGAACTCAGGGCAGTGGGATAGGTACTCTGTTGGTCTTGCCTGGGTCCATCATGTCTTGGAGCTCTACCAACTTGAGCTACCCTTCTGGTTCTGTTATTTTTGTTTGTTTGTTTTTACCTTCAGTCCTGAGGCTTGAACGTGGGGCCTGGGCGCTGTCCCTGATCTCTTTTGCTCAAGGCAAGCTCTCCACCACTGTGAGCCACAGCACCACAGCCACAGTGGTTAATTGGACATGAGAGTCTCACAGACTTTCCTGCCCTGGCTGGATTTGAACCGTGATTCCCAGACCTCAGCCTCCTGGGTAGCTATAATGACAGATGTGAGCCACCAGGCCCAACCGCAATTATTATTGAAGCCTCTGCTGTCATCCTGTTTGGCCATCCCAAAGCCAGTGACACCGCTGAGCCCAGTGTGAGTGGACAGTCACTGTGGTGAGCAGTGGCCGGCATGGATCATAGACAGCTGGGCAGCTGGGCAGCTGGGCTGTGTGTGGCATCAACCCCCTGTTCATGAGCCTCAGCACCTGTGCAGGAGTAGCGGAGGCTTTCTTCTGTTACTACTTCTTCAAAACACATTAGACCCCCCCCCCCCATGCGCGGGTGGCTCACGCCTGTAATCCTAGCTACTCGGGAGGCTGAGATCTAAGGGTTGCAGTTCGAAGCCAATCAGGGCAGGCAAGTCCATGAGACTCTTCTCTCCAATAAACTACTCAGAAAAAGCCAGACGTGGTGCTGCGGCTCAAGTGGTGGAATGCTCTACTCTTGAGCACCAGGAGGCTCAGGGACAGCACTCAGGCCCTAAGTTCGAGCACTAGGACTGGCAAAAGAAAAACCCCCACAACAAAACACACAAGACCTTTTCAGATCTCCTCGTGCAGGGGTTCTGTCCCAACATCGAGGTTTGTTCCCAGACAAACAGTAACGGCCAGACCTTCTCTTGGACAGGACTGGGGGCTGTGGTCATCGGCGAGGCTCTCGGCACTGTCACGCTGCTCTGTGGCAACACCTCAGCACCCAGGGGTCTGGTGACCTGGTACCGGAACGACTCGGAGCCCGTCTTCCTTCTGTCCTCCAATTCCAGCCTCCCACTGGCTGCACCTCGCTTCTCTCTGGTGAACGCCAGCGCCCTGCGCATCGAGGCTCTGAGCCTGCAGGATGAGGGCGTCTACTCTTGCCAGGAGGTCCTGAATGACACTCGCTACTTCCCCGTGTCGCTGCAGGTGGCAGGTGAGTGGGGCTGCAGAGCTCTCCCTGGGGCCATGGACGGGACAGGACGGGGCTGTGGTTAGGAGCTTGGGCTTTGGCAACACATGGCCCGAGTTTTAGTGTAGGTTCTGCAGCTTGGCAAGCTGAGTGACCCTACAATGGGCTGAAGAGAATCCCTGCCTCACAGCCAGACGCCAGTGGTTTCTGATTCTAGCTACTGATTCTAGGCTGAGATCTAAGGATCACAGTTTTGAAGCCAGCTAGGGAAGACAAATCTGCAAGACTTCAGGCAAAAATGCCTGAAGACAGGTAGAGCACTTGAGCAAAAAAGCCCAGTTGAGAGGGCAAGGCTCAGAGTTCAAACCCTAGCACCAGTACACACATACACAAGAAAGGATTCCTGCCCCCACAGAACTGCTGTGAACAAGAGATACTAGTTTATAGGATGCTTTAAAGGTTCCTGGCATATTACTTAGCTATTATTTTTTGGTTATTGTCCATATAATCCTTACTGTCCATGTTATTTTGTCCTATAATGTAATCGAGTCAGACTGCTGTGTTCCAGTCTAGCGTTGCCACTTAGTCTTTGTTACCTCAAGGAAGCAGCCGGCTATCTCCAAGTCCGTTTTCCTCCTTTGTTCTTGGGGATAATACATTGCAGTCTTTGGCAGGTAGAGTGAACGCGCTCTGCTACCGTGGTAAATACTCGATGTGGCTTGCCTGGCTCTTCCCACCCTTTCCTGCAAAACTCTTCCTGTCTGCTAATAGACACAGATGAAATCTGAGTGGGGGCGTGCAGCCTGCAAGCCATATCCAGCCAGCCACCAGCAGTGCACTGTCCTTTTCATATGGCTGCAAGCTATGACTATTCCATATACTTTTATACCATTGGGGGAAAAAAATCAGAATATATGCAATTCAACTTTCAGTGCCTGAAAATAAATGGGTTATTTTAACTATTATTACTATTATTGTGCCAGTACTAGGGGCTTGAACTCAGGGCCTGGTACTGCCCTTGAGCTTTTTTTTTTTTTTTGCTCAAAGCTATTGCTCTACCACTTGAGCCATAGCTCCTCTTCTGACTTTTTGGCGGTTGGTTTGGAGATAAGAATTTCTCATGGATGTTCCTGCTCAGGCTTCAAACCGTGATCCTCATATCTCAGCCTCTTGAGTTGTTAGGATTACAGGCATGAGCCTCTGGTGCCTGCTGTCTGAGTGTTTCTAACAGGACTTGGGAGAGTCAGACTCTTGTTTGTATCTTTCCAGTCTTCTTACTGACAGAGTTAGGAACTTGGCCACATACTCGCTTTCTTTTAATGAGAAAAGTTTAGAAACATCTTCACTTGGCCTTGGAAGCTAGAGGGAAAACATTCCAGGATGTGACAAGTTGTTATCTGTCAGTGGCCTTCAATATGCAAATAAACAGAGATGCTAGAGACACACAAAGCTGGCTGTGTAATGGCGGGGAGCTTTATCTTTCTTGCCACCTGGACCTGGGCTTCTGCTTGCCAATCAGTGGCATATTTGGCAACTCTGTTTTAAAGAGTCAGACAGTTTTCTTTTTTCCTTCCTTTCTTTTTTCTTTTCCTTCCTAACTTTGTGTGTGTGTGTGTGTGTGTGCGCGCCAGTACTGGGGTGTGAGCTCAGGCCTTGTGTTCTTGCTCAAATTTCTTGCTCATGGCTAGCACTCTACCACTTGAGCTATGCGTCAGGTCCATGTTTTTGCTGCTTACTTGGAGTTAGCATCTCTTGGATTTTGCTGCCTGGGCTGGCTTTGAACCTCCATCTTCTAATCTCAGCCTCTTGCTTTTTATTTATTTATTTATTTTTGGTCGGTCATGGGGCTTGAACTCTGGGCCTGGGCACTGTCTCTCAGCTCCTCAGCTCAAGGCTAATGCTCTCCTACTTGAGACACAGTGCCACTTCTGGCTTTTTCTGCTTATGTGGTGCTGAGGAATCCAACCCAGGGCCTCATGCATGCGAGGCAAGCACTCTACCACTGAGTCACCTTCCCAGCCCCACCTCTTGCTCTTAAAGACATCTTGTTTCTTAAGATGTTTGTGCCCTTGGCATTGGGCATTTGAGGAGCCCAGTGACCAGGCTGAGGATCATCAACCTGTGAAAGACACTCAACACACTTCCTGGGACATGCTATGCGGCTCTTTTGGGCTCCATTTTTCTCAGATCTCAGCTTTCTGAGGAGCTAGGAGGATTATAGGCTTGAACCATCAGTACTCCCCTGCCAGCATTCCCCCCTCCCCCCTCCTGCACCAGCCCCATTTCTTTTTTTCTTTTTGGATACAGAGTTTCACTAAATAGCCCAGTCTGGCCTTGAACTCACCATCCTCCTACCTTTACCTCCTAAGTGCTGAGATTACAGGAGTGTCCCACTACACTCAGGAACTACCCTCATTTCTTGCTTAAAATTCTCCTGGACAGAAGCCCTTCTCAGTTGACTTCTGGGGTTCTGCACTGTGTGCAGGCCAGGCTATGGGGCCCGGCTGACCAAATGCGTCTGATGTGACTCACATTACCTTTGTGGCCTGGGTGTTGGCCACTAGAAGCTCAAAGACACCCTGTACCAAGTGTAGGCACGCCCAGGACCTGCCTTTCCACATACCTAATAACCAACAACAGTAGTTTGGGGGCCTGAACACCTCTCAAGCCATAGCTTTATTTCCCCCAGACCCCCTGTGGGAGGTGAAGAATCTGCTGACCCCTGCATTGGGAAGAGGATGCCCCCACCTGACAAGCATATTGTCAAGACTCAACCTTAGAAACCCACCTTTCTGGGCTGGGAATGTGGCTTAGTGGTAGAGTGCTTACCTAGCATGCATGAAGTCCTGGGTTCAATTTCTTTGTACCACATAATCAGAAAAGGCCAGAAGTGGCACTGTAGCTCAAGTGATAGCGTGCTATCCTTGAGCAAAAGTTCTGGGACAGTGCCCAGGCCCTGAGTTCAAGCCCCAGGACTGATAAAATAACAACAACAAAACACCTTTCTATAGCTGTGCAGTGGCCAGGGCTGAGCAGAACCGGGGCAAAGTCAATACTGTGCTCACGAATAATGTTTTTTATGGTCTATTTCTTCATATCTTTTTTCTTTTGTTCCTGTGTGTGTGTGTGTGTGTGCTGATATGGGGGCTTGAAATCAGGGCTTAGGCATTGCCCCTGGGCTGAAAGCTAGCACTCTACAACTTGAGCCACAGCTCCATTTCCAGCTTTTTGGTGGCTAATGGGAGATAAGTCTTATAGACTTTCTTGCCTGAGCTGGCTTTGAACCTCAGGCATCAGATCTCAGCCTCCTGAGTAGCTAGGATTATAGATGCCAGCCCTTGGCTCCAGGCGAATACTTGTGATCAAAATTCTGTAGCTATTCCACAGCTCAGTCGACCCAGAGAGGCTCTGTCAGCCCCTCCTTAGATGTTTGCTTATGTTTAAATCCTCGTGTGATTGTCTCAGTGTTTCTCTGCCCTTAATTTAGTGAACATCTGCCTCCCCAAAAGCGAACGAGGCCCCCAAAGTGAGGTCAACGTGGATGTGCGGGCCCGGCGTCCCCCGATGGGTTTGTGAGTCTCACTCAGCGCCGGCTTCACGCCCTGCTCCTCTCTCTGTCCTTCCCAGATGGCCCCTTCCAGGTGGAGGTCAACGTCTCCGCCTCGGGCTCCCTTCCCAACGGCACCCGGTTCGTGGCCAGGGGCTCCCGGGCGGCCTTCAGCTGCCGCAGCCGCGCCCGGCCTCCGCCCCGGGTGGAGTGGTGGTTCCAGGCCGCCCCGGGCCGGCCCGAGCTCTTCGGGAACAACCGGACGCTGTCCAGCTTCGCGCTGCTGCAGATGTTGCCCAGTCTCCAAGGCAACTACACCTGCGTGGCCACCAACACGCTCAGCGGGAGGCAGCGAAAGGTGACCACCGAGCTCCTGGTCTACTGTGCGTAAGAAGCCGCCCCGCCCCGCCTGCCCCACACCCCGCGCGCATGCGCACACGAGGGCCTGGCTGGAAGTCATTCACCGTTACCACCTCCCTGCCCCTGAATGTGCATGCGCCCGCTTGGGTCAGACAGGAAGTCCCACCCCCCCCCCCCATACCCACTCTGGTCAGACAGGAAATCATCCCAACCTCTCCCGCCTCTCCCCGGAAGCTGGCTGCTATCACAGATGGCCTTTGGGTCACCGTGGTGCAGGTTTTTGTCAGTGACCGATGGATGGGTTGAGCCTGTGATGACACAGCCTGCCACGGTGAGAACAGGAGACAAAGGAAACCCATCCACTCACTGCCTGGCGTGGGAGGGACCAGAAGAGGAAGGCGCAGCTCCCAAATCCCGTCCAAGGCCACATCCGCCAGGAACTAAGACCTTCCTCTAGGCCACACCTCTTACAAGGTTCAAACTTAGGCCTGTGGAGTCAAGTGCAGGACCACGCCTTGATTTAATTCATAGTCTGCTGCAGAGCTGTACTAGAGCCAAACTACTGCAAATCCCCAAACATTGACATCATCTCAATTGAAAACTTCAGACCCTTTAAGCACTTACTCCTCTCCCCATTCTGTGCCCTAGCCCCTGACAGATTCTAATCTGGGCTCTGTCTGTGTGAATTTTCCGGTTCCCAGGTATTTGTTATGAATGGAGCATACATAAGAATTTACCAGATAGATAGAAAATACACTTTGTATAAGGTGGGCATCCACATTGTAACAAGAACCCAGGCCATGCTTGTTTCCTTTTCATGGCTGAATAATAGTCCATTTGCCCTTGGCCAAGGCAACCACTTTTAAGTTTTACAGGGCCCAACACTGTGCCATAGAACTTTTTGGACAGGGGTAATGGAGATGTCCTGTGCGGTTTTAATAAAGCTGCTGTTTGTCATATGTGGTTACTGAATGCTTGAAATATGGCTATGTAATGGAGGGACTAGATTTGTAATTTCATGTAATTAAATTTAAGGACTACTCTTGTCTAGAGAGAAAGGCAAAGACCAACAAGACCCAGGGCCTCTGAGATGTAACACCCAGCAAAGGAAATTCGGTGCCAAGTGCTAATTTATTTTAGGTGCTGTGTCAAGGTAGACTGTGGCTAAAAGTATCTTGTTGCTGTTGTTTTGGTTTTGTGCCAATCCTGATACTTGTACTCAGGACCTCTAGCTTTCATTTGGCTTTTTATGTTTAAGGCATTACCACTTAAACTACAACTCCACTTTCTTGGCTTTTTTAGCCTCCTGCATTTGCCTGCCCTGCCTGTTTTCAAATTAGATCCTCAGACCTCAGTCTCCCTGAGTGGCTAGGATTATTGACATGAACCACATCACCTGATTGACTGACTAGAGTTGATGTTTCTCTGAGACTCCAATACTTCGGTCTGTAAGTAAGGCCATTTTTCCTCTGGTGTCTTGCAGCCCCTCCTACATCAGCACCTCGGTGCTCTGCAGAGACGGCCTTGACATCGTCCACTCTGCAGCTCACCTGTCACTGGGATGGGGGATACCCTGAGCCTAACTTCTTGTGGACAGAGGAACCAGGAGGGATGATCCTGGGGAACTCATCGCTGGGGGTGGAGGTGGTGAACAACACCCAGCTGGAGGATGGCAAGACCTTCAAATGCCTTGGCAGCCATGTAGTGGGGCCGGAGTCGGGAGCCAGCTGTGTGGTGCAGATCAGTGAGTGTGGCTGGCTTTGTCCTGGGGCTGGGGGTCACCTGCCTTCCTTTTCTTCTCCAAAAATTGTTTGGAAGTTGTCCTGGGGAAGAATTGTTTGAAAGCACAGTGTGTTGAAGTGGCATAAATTTCTTCTCAGGAAAGAACTCATATTCTCGAAGATGTCTAGGCAGGGCTCGTGTCTCTTCGTAAACATTTGTCTTCTCATTTCTAGGGAGCCCCTCGCTTCTCTCCGAGCCCATGAAGACTTGCTTTGTGGGAGGCAACGTGACGCTCACCTGCCAAGTGTCCGGAGCTTCTCCTCTCGCCAAGATCCAGTGGCTGAGGAATCTCAGCCAGCCCGAAGCGGTTCTCCAGCCCAGCAACCATTACCTCATCACCCAGACTGGCCAGAGCTCCAACCTCACTGTCCACAACTGCTCGCGGGACCTGGACGAGGGCTACTATGTCTGCCGAGCTGAGAACCCTGTGGGGGTGAGGGAGGTGGACATCTGGCTAACTGTGAAAGGTGAGCCCAAAGCCAGGGAAGGCGGGAGTGGGGAAGGAAGGTGAAGAGCTGCTGCCTGGAGATAGCACAGGCCCCTTTCCCCCTCCACTGGTCACAGAGAGCCGGCATATGCAGCTGGTGCACCTCCGTGAGGTGGATGGGGAACAATTACTGTCCAGTCTTAAAGGCAGTAGTACTAGTACAGGGAGCAAAAATTATATATATTAACATAAATTATTATATATAATTGTATATTACAACCTGAAGAATACACATACAAAAAATATGAAAAAGAACACTGTGGATCCCCTAATGTATGAATGACTGAGGCTTTGTAAATTAAGGGACGTTTGTGTGAATAAAGTTATTTGATGGGGTCAAAGAAGCCATATGTGATTGGAAAAAAAAAAAAAAAAAATATGAAAAAGTCTTCAAGCTCAATAGAAGGCAAACACTTGAAGTCTCCACCCATACTTACTTTTATTTATTTTGTGTTCATCCTGGGACTTGAACTCAGGACATGGAATCTTTCAGATAGTCTTCCATTAACATGAAAGTATAAGTGTCTATTGTATGTACACATAATTTTGTATAGACAAATACCATTCTGTAGATTGCTCACTTTATAGGTCTTATTTCAATTTATTATTATTATTATTATTATTAGCCTGTTCTGGGGTTTGAATTCTGGGCTTGGCCACTGTCCCTGAGCTTTTGTGCTCAAAGATAGCACTCTACCATTTTGAGCCACAGAGCCATTTCTGGTGTTCTGGTGGTTCATTGGAGGTAAGTATCTCACAGACTTTCCTGCCCAGGCTGACTTTGAACTGTGATCCTCAGATCTCAGCCTCCTGAGGAGCTAGGATGACAGGCGTGAGCCACCGGTTCCCAGCTTTTTTTTTTTTTTTTCAGTTTAAAAATATAGCCATTGTGGCTGTATAGTGTATAAAACAGTGGAGATATTAAGTAGGTGAGAGGTTTCTAGAGTTGAAGGCAGGAAGCAGGCAGTGGAGTAGGCAGACCCTGGACTTTGAAAGCAGTGGAAATCCTCTCAGATGGTGTAGTTATAGATACATGTCTTTGTGCCATCATCTGAACTCACAGACTTTTCAACACCAAGAGTGAGGCCTGCTGCAAACTATGGCTTCAGGTGACGCTGGATGGGAATTCATGAATTGTGACAATGTGTCACTCTAGTAGGGGATTTGAGGTGGGGGTACTGTGTATCTGTAGGTGAACTCTGTACGTGCTGTATAGTTTTGCTAGAAACCTAACAATGCTCTAAAAATTTTTCTACAAAAAAAAAAGCAAAATTGAAGCCACCATAAGCAAGTCTTTTGTGACTTGCTCGTTTTACATTTTCTTTCTAGGATTGATTCATTCAAATGCATATCATTATACTTCCTACCTCTTTACCGCTGTATAATTTTCCATTGTGTCATCATTCCACAAGACAGTTCCTCATTTTTCCTGCTGATGGATGTTTGTGTGGTTGCTGCTTTTTGTGATGATAGCAGAGTTGCTATGGATATCTTAGCAAGCATTCCTCTAGATATGTTCAAAGGCCATGTATGTATTTATATAAAAGGCATGTTATTTATGTGCATTTTACCAAGTAGGTGTACCACTTTCCAGTCTCAAAAGCAATAGACAAGAATTGGCTTGCTTTGCATTTTTACTGGATTTTTAATTTTTGCCCATCGTGTATGTCAAAAAAACAATCTTAGCCAGGCCGCCGGTGGCTCATGCCTGTAATCCTAGCTACTCAGGAGGCTGAGATCTGAGGATTGCGGTTCAAAGCCAGCCTAGGCAAGAAAGACGGTGGGACTCTTATCTCGAATAAACCACTCAAAACTGGAAGTGGCTCTGCGGCTCAAGCGGTAGTCGCCTTGAGCTGAAGAGCTGAGGGACAGCACCCAGGCCCAGATTTCAAGTCCCACAAATGACAAAAAAAAATCTCAGCTGGTTGCTGGGGGCTCATGCCTGTAATTCTAGCTACTCAGGAAGCTGAGATCTGAGGATAATGGGTCAAAGCCAACCTCTGCAGGAAAGTCCGTGAGACTCTTCAACTAAACAACTAGAAAAGGGAAGTAGAGCTGTGGTTCAAAGTAGTAGAGGGTTAACCTTGAGCAAAAACACTCAGGGATAGTGCCCAGGCTTTGAGTTCAAGTCCCAGGACCAATCAAAACAAAAACAGAATCTCTTTGAGGTTCTAATGTTCATTTCTCTGATTACTAAGGTTTTGAGCCGGTGCCACACCTTGTGCCTTGACATTTTCTCCTTTCTCACAGATGTGTAGTTGCATTTTTTTTGTTGTAGAAGTTCTTCATGATAATTTATTGATTTATGTTATACATATTTTAGTTTGTTTGTTGCAATTTTTATGGCTTAAGAAATTCTTCCCTCTCCCAGGGTCACAAAAATAGTCTTCCTAAAGTTGCCTCTAACAGTTTTAACGTTTTTTTTTTTTTTTCCACAGTTAAGCCTTTCTTAGGAATTTTATTTTTGAATTAACACTCTCACAAGCTAAATCTTTCATTAATATGGAATAATTTTCTTCCTTTTTCTCCTCCTAATTTTTTTTTTTTTTTTTTTTTTGGGGTCCGGTCATGGGGCCTGAACTCTGGGCCTGGGCGCTGTTCCTCAGCTCTTCAGCTCAAGGCTAGCACTCTACCACTTGAGCCACAGTGCCACTTCCGGCTTTTTTTTTTTTTTTCTTTCTGCTTATGTGGTGCTGAGGAATAGAACCCAGGGCCTCAAGCGTGCAAGGCAAGCGCTCTACCACTGAGCCACCTTCCCAGCCCTCTCCTCCTAATTTTTATAAACCATTTGATCCACTGCCATTTATTAACCTTTTTTTTTTGTCCACTAATCTGTCATAGGCCAAGTTTCTATGTGTGGGCCTGTACTCAAATTTTCTATTCTGTCCATTGAGCCCACTGTTTATCACAGTACAGATAACTCCCATTCTTTTTCTTTTTCTTTTTTTTCCAGTCCTGGGGCTTGAACTCAGGGTCTGGGCATTGTTCCTGAGCTTCTTTTGCTCAAGGCTAGCACTCTACCACTTGAGCCACCATGCTACTTCTGGCTTTTTCTATGTACGTGGTGCTGAGGAAATGGAACCCAGAGCTTCATGCATGCTAGGCAAGCACTCCACCACTAAACCACACTCCCAGCCCCATGCTTACTTTCTTGATGTCTGGTCAACACAGATTCTTTTTTTTTTTTTACAGCCTAAACCTAATGTTGAACAAGATAAACATGTTACAAAAGAGATGAGTTCATTCACATGAAATTGGGAAAGAGGCTAGACTCAGCTGGGAGTATAGCTCAGCTCAGAAGTCAAGCAGTTGCTCAGCATGTATAAAGCCCACGTTCAACCCTCAGTACTGCTTGAAAAAAAATGCAAAATTAACCATTCGTCTATGATCTTAGAAGACAGCCAGTAAGGACTGTGACAGCAAAGAGCCCTGCCCGGGCTGGCTGTGAACTCCGATCCTCAGATCTCAGCCACCTGAGTAGCTAGGACGACAGGTGTGAGCCACTGGCACCTGGCTCAACACAGATTTTTAACTTTCCAAGATGCATTTCACAAGTGCACTCATATTGTGCACTTTGACTCCCACAAACTCAGCCCACTGTTGGGTGAAGAGCTATTTGTCTTGCATCGGAGAGTGATCGTCTGTTTGGGTTTAAAGTCATGAAGCCAAGATAAGATCTGGATTTAGGCAGAGGACAGGTGTTGCTCAGCTGTACCCACATGATGTGGATATAAGGCTTCACTGTGATTTGTCTTTACAGAGCCTCTCAATATCGGAAGTGTGGTGGGAACCATCATCAGCCTCCTCCTGTTGGGAGTGGCTACTATTTTCGGACTTCTGTTGTATTACAGCCCTGTGTTCTGCTGGAAAGGTAACGGCTTCTTGGTCCCTTTGCTTCAGGCTTCTTAAACAGGTGGGAGGGGCCAGACACCTGTGAATCATGCCTGTCATCCTAGCTACTCAGGAAGATGAGCTATAAGGATGTCAGTTTGGAGCCAGTCCTAGCAGGAAATTCCACGAGACTTTTATTTCTAACCACAAAAAGCCAGAAGTGGAGCTGGGGTTCAAGTGGCAGAGCACTAGCCTTGAGCAGAAAAAGCTTAGAGGATAGTGCCTAAGCCCTAAGATGGCACACACATACAAAAAAGACAATGTGTGGGTGGTGGGAAGAAAGCCATTGTTCAACTTCACCTGACATCCACCTATTGAATTCTTCATGGGGTCAACATGTGCCAGAGTGCTTAAGTATTGCCTGCTATCCCTGAAATTTCTAGAACCTCTTCCTTTGGATTAGTTCTTTTCTTTTTTTTTTTCCAGTTGTGGGGCTTGAACTCAGGGTGTGGGTGCTGTCCCTGAGCTCTTTTACTCAGAGCTAGCACTCTACCACTTTGAGCCACCACTCTACTTCTGGTTTTTGAGTAGTTCATTGGAGATGAGTCTCACAGGGACTTTTCTGGGTTGGCTTTGAACCTAAATCCTCAGATGTCAGCCTCCTATGAGTAGCTAGGATTACAGGTGTGAGCCATCAGTGCCTGGCTCCCCCCCCCCCCCCCCCCGCCAGCCCCCAATCCTGGGGCTTGAGCCTCTGGGCTTGGACACTGTCCCTGAGTTCCTTTTGCTCAAGGCTAGCGTTCTACTACTTGAGCCACAGCACACTTCTGACTTTTTCTGTAATTGGAGATGAGTCTCACAGACTTTCCTGCCTGGGCTGGCTTCAAACCAGGATCCTCAGATCTCAGCCTCCTAAGTAGCTAGGATTACAAGAATACAGGCATGAGGTGCACCCCTGGCTTGTTCCATCTTTTGAACAGGTCAGTTTGTTTTCAATTGACTTGTGGGAGTCTTAGTGGTGGTACTGGATACTGACTTTTGTTTTCTTGTCTTGTCTTCTGTAGGAGACCCCTTGAGGTGAGTGTTCCCAAGATTCAAATCAAAGACCCCATTTCCATACTTTCATCTTTCTTGTTTGCCCTCCTTTTGTAAGAAGCACAATAATAAATTCCAGTGGGGACCAGACCATAAACCCTTGATCACCTCAGAGCAATGGTGGCATTTCTGTTTCCCTTGTGGGGGAAGAGGCCCAGTGAAGGGATTACTGAAAGCTCATCCAGGAGGAGATGACAGGCCCCACTTTCTGACTCAGGTCTGATGGATGCCAAAGTCTCTATTTATTTATTTTATTTTGTTGGTCATTGGGCTTGAACTCTAGACCTGGGAGCTGTCCCTAAGCTCTTCAGCTTAAGGCGAGTGCTCTACCACTGGAGCCACAGCACCACTTCCGGTTTTCTGGTAGTTAATTGGAGATGAGAGTCTCGTAGACTTTTCTGCCCTGGCTGACTTTGAATCACGATCCTCAGATCGTGGGCTTGCTTGCTTCTTTCTTTCACTCTCTCTCTCTCTCCCTCCCTCCCTCCCTTCCTTTCTTCCTTCCTTCCTTCCTCCCTTTCCTTCCTTCTTCTCTCTTCCGCTTTCTTTCTCTTTCTTTCTTTTCTTTCTCTTTTTTTGATGTCAAACCTCAGGGCTAGGCACTTTGTGGGCCTAGCACTGAAACATGAAGACATTGTATACATGGTAGCTTAGTCATTCATGCTTTTATTACATTTCCTACCATGAGACAAAAGGATGAATAAGACAAAATCTTACAGGATGTTTTAGAAGATGAGTTTGAACAAGTTCATAATCCTCTATCCTTCAAAGGGTAGTTTGAGGCAAAGTAAAAAAAAATTTTTTGTGGTGTATTGGAGTTTGAACTCAGGGCCTAGGTGCTGTCCTTTAGGTTTTTTGCTCAAGTCTGGAGCTCTACCACTTGAGCAGAATTGCAATTCTAGCTTTTTGGTTGGTTAACAGACTTTGCTGCCCGGGCTAGCTTCAGATGGTAGTCCTCAGATCTTAGACTCCTGAGTAACTGGAATTACAGGTGTAAGCCACCCATCCCTGGCTGTATATATTTTTTTTTTTTTTTGGGTCCGGTCACGGGGCCTGAACTCTGGGCCTGGGCGCTGTCCCTCAGCTCTTCAGCTCAAGGCTAGCACTCTACCACTTGAGCCACAGCGCCACTTCTGGCTTTTTTCTTTTTGCTTATGTGGTGCTGAGGAATCGAACCCAGGGCCTCAGGCATGCAAGGCAAGCGCTTTACCACTGAGCCAACTTCCCAGCCCCCCTGGCTGTATATTTTATTTCTTTAAGAACCTGACTGGAATCAAAGAATTATTTTTTCTATGATACATAGACAAATAATTCTACTTCCTCATTCATAATGACAGAATACTTAGTTTCGGGACCATCTTTTACTATATCCTGTATTAGAAGGCCATTGTTCCCAGTGGGTCTGGAACGATCTAGGGTTGAGTGTTCAGTGAGGAGAAAAACAAGATTTTTTCCCCCCTCCTTTGGAAAATAGGGGCCAGGACATGGGTGATGTGATGGTTTTGGTGGATTCAGAAGAGGAGGAGGAGGCCGAGGGAGCAGAGGAGGAGGAGGCCGCAGAGGAGGAGGAAGAGATGAGAGAGGAGTTGCCGAAAGAAGTCCACAAGCATGGCCACATTCACAGAGTGACTGCACTGGTGAATGGAAACCTAGAGCAACTGAGGAACGGACTCCAAGATCTCCAAGGTAAGCCCTCCTTCCTCGCAAGCACTCGGATCTGTGCAGCAAGCACCTGCTAGATCTGCAGGGCAGGCGTGAGCTTGGCCTTTTTAAGTAGCTTGGCCCATTTAACACATGGGACCCATTCCTCCCTGGCTTCTTTCATTCTACATGTGCAAAGACATCTGAAACACTTCCGGTCCCAAGCATTTGAGGTAAAGTACTCAAGTGTAACTGCTGATATAGGAGTGGACATTTACCAAGCCACTCACTGGGTAGAAGCACACAATGAGCACTGTTGAATAGACAATCAGCACTGATGAAGATCCACTTGCAGGTTCCTTCAGAAGGACAGTTGGATGGCTGATGGATTTAAAAACTCCATCCAGGTGCCAGTGACTCACACTTGTAATCCTAGCTACTTAGGAGGCTGAGATCTGAGGATCCCAGTTTGAAGTCAGACCTGGCAGGAAAGTCTGGAAGACCCATCTCCAGTTAACTACTTTTTTGTCAGAAGTGAAGCTGTGGCTCAAGTGGGTGTAGCATTAATTTTGAGCAAAAAAAAAAAAAAAGTTCAGGGACAGTGCCCAGGCCCTGAGTTCAAACCACACACACACACACACACACACACACACACACACACACACACACACACAACACACACACACACACGGAAAACTACAGGGCCTCTGAGAATGATGAGAGCATCGGGCAGGCCCAGCTTTCTGGAAGAGGTAGATATGAGACCAGTGTATAAGGACAGTTGCATTTGAATAAATATGAATGAGTGCTTCTGGTGAGGGCATGAGCCAGGGGCATGATGGGTAGCAAGCATCAAGCATGTCTAGAGGATTCTGATTTAAGACAGGCAGTTGCACACCCTGCCCTGTTTCCACCATGAAACCTGACCCTGTGGCTCATCAGGAAAGAGTCAGATCCCAAACACCACCATAGCCTGGCCAAGGAAACAGAATACCATGCTACTGCACTGAGATCATTGAGTCTCCTCCCCCCATCCCCCTCTGAACAGATGACAGCAGTGCCCCGCAAAGTGACATTGCTCAAGAAGACAGGCCAGTTTGAAGAAGGGGATCTGTCCACCGTCACCTTGTTTTGAAAGTGGGGGAAAGCTCCATTTGAGAAAACAGCTCATCGCCTGGCTCTGACCCCGACCCCTCCCATCGCCACCTGGGAGCTTGCATTCACAACAGCAGCCAAGAAGAAACACATCCATCTTTCCTTCCATCTCGTCATTGCTTTGATTTGCTAGAAGTTTCCTGGATGTTAAGACATTGTGGGAAGGAGCAATGTGTTGGGGGAAAGCAAATGGCAATGGAGGTACCATTTTGCCTGTGTCACCTGGCTCTGTCCAGGTTGGCTGTGACAGACCTTGATTTGCAAGGGGGAGCACTGGTCTTGGTGCTCTGTGCTATTATTAAAGATCTGGGGCCTGGCACCAGTGGCTCATGCCTACAAGCTACTCGGGAAGCTGAGATCTGAGGATCACGGTTCAAAGCCAGCCCAGGCAAGAAATTCCATGAGAGTTTTATTGCTGATTAACCAACAAGATGCTGGAAGCAGAGGTGTGGCTCAAGTGGTGGTGTGACAGCCTTGAGTGGAAAAAGTCAAATGAGAGCACAAGGCCCTGATTTGAAGCCCCAGTATTGAGGGGGGAAATAACAATTTGTAAACAGTTTATCCCAGTCAAACAGGGAAATCTAGTCCAGTAATGAGACTTCCTTTATCACTGTCCAGGTGAGGAGCCGGAGGTGAGCTCTCCTCCGGTGAGGTGTCAGGTGCCAGGGCAAGTCAGAGGAAGGTGGTTTGGCTTCTCAGCTTTTACAATCAGCACACTCTTGAATCTGGGCCCTGCCCCTTCTTTGCTCAGTGGGGTGGGGCCTGATGCTTTGTCTCTCTCTGGGCTGCTATTTCCTCATCTGTAAAATAGGCAACATCACTGCCTTCCAGCCCCATTCGTTCATGGGTGAGAATTAAATGAAGTCATTCAGAAAGACATACAGTTCCTGGGAGGTGCTCAATAGATGTTTGTTGCCGCCTTTGCCTTCTCTTTGGGAAGGGGAAAACATATCCATTGTTAAGTTCAGAGCTGCTTTGGGGCCTTGTGCCTTTCATTCTTTTTGTTCTTTTTTGATCCGAGACCGGGATTTGAACTTGATACCTGTTGCTTTTGCTCACTGATTAGCCCTGTACCAACTGAGCCACTCTTCCTATCCTGGGCCTTTTATTCTTCATTGAACACTCTCTCCTAGAGGGGCCCCAAGGCAGTTCCCTGGGAACTGTTTTCTCCTGGAGACAGAATCCTTTTCTCAGGGGGGCTCTAGTGAGGGGTTGGGAAGGTTCTCACAGAGTTTTTATGTAGAAAAGCTGCCTAGGTGACAGCCCTTCATCAGCTTTCAGCACTTTTCATTTATTTCTTCTGTTAGTTTGGAAAGAGGCCTCAGTTTGACTGTTTTAGAAATGGAAAACCTGTTTCCTTCCTATGTCTTAAAGATATGAGGATACACTGATCAGCGACCCTAGATTCTAAATGAAAACAATATGGGGTGAGTTCATGGCTTTCATTACATCCTTAAGGCATTTCTCCCCGCCCCTTCCCCCCACTGCCCCATTTCATTCAAGCCTCTTAAAGTCAGAACCTTACAGAGGGGGAAAACATGAAAAATCAGACCAATGTTTGCACTTCCACATTGCCTTTGTGCTCCAACAGGCAAATCTAGGGATCCAAGGAGGGCCCACTTTCTCCAATGGCAGGGATTAGGTACTGGAGATACAGAACTGGTTCTCTGAAGGAAGCTCCAGATGTGGTTGGGAAGATCTCTCTATGAAGGAAACAAATCACTAGAGGTGTGTCCTGTCCCCAGTTCAGGGTGCTGGGGAGTCTGGAGCATGGCGAGTCCTGGCTCACTATGCAGGAATAGCTGTGAATGGCAGGTCCCTTGATCAGGACTCATTGATTGGTACCTCGCATACTGAGCCCCTCCAAACGGCTGGCTGTGGGCACCATTCTAGAATGAGATCCTCAAGTTGCAGCATTGGCCTTGCGAGACTTTGATGATGAATTCCTGAATTTGAGAACCTACTATGCAGAGGGTACATTAGGTAAAGGAAGTAGGTGTGGGAAGTGGAGGACAGCCGTCCGGGAATGGAGAACACGTTTGCCAGGTTGCTGGGACGCTGTCCATAGCTTCCCCTTCCTTTTCATGCACACACACCTCAGGACCAGAAACATTTGAGAGTTTTTCCACTGGCAAATGGGAGACTCCAGGGCTTAGTGACAAATGTCATGACCCGCTGTGATTGCTGTCACTCCTGGCAGCCCCGGCCCAGACATTTAAGAAACTGAATAGTTCAAGTCTTAAAGAATTTAGAAAGAATCTGGACTTGTTTTTTGCTTTTTCTTCCCTTTTCCTTAATATGATTCAAACCAAAGCTACCATCATGGTGACTGTAGCTTACAATCTTGGTGGGATAAAGTCCAAGTTGCAACATTGTATTAAAAAAAATCTTATCTGTGTGTATTGTTAACTCTGGGACTATGAGGTCTACTTATCAGAAGCAGGAAGATAAACACATCAGGGCAATTACATTGTGTTGCTTTTCTTTAAAACCTGGGGTACTCTGGGTGGGGCTCTGAAACCCTGTGGCTTAGTTATTAGCTCTATCACTCACAAATCCACACAGGACCTACATGTTCAGCTTAGACAGGATGGAAAATTTCCATACTCTTGAGTACTGAAACCTGAGGGGGAGGGAAATCTTGTTGGGGAAGAATTTCTTATGATGTAGTCAAGTGCCAACTTCTATTGTCACCTGGGGCTGGCTACAAACTGCTGGGAAAAAAAGAAGCAGATGGCTCTGTGTTATTTACATTTTAATATTTGCTGGGGGAAGGCTGGTAGAAATTAGTTCCAGGGTTATGGATTTTTTAAATTACAGAATAAAATTATTTTTAAATATGTTTCAGTGATGTTGATTTGGACCTGATTAGTAAATGGTTTAGAGAAACAAGTGTGCCAGAAAAAATATTTTTTTAAAACTGTTTCTATTTAAAAGAATACTACTTTTGTTATCACTGAATGTCTAGTAAGGGGCTGGTGATGTAATCCAGAGGTAATGTGCTTGCCTACCAATGTCCTATGATCTATCTCCAGCATTACAAAACAAACAACTTAAATCCTTATTTAAGGATGAGAATTTGGGACAGGAGAAAATTGGAGAAAAACATGGCAGCAGTGGGAGGTGGGGGATAAAAGCCAGGTTAAAAAAAGTAAGATGTTGTAATAAAGCTGAGAATAGAATTAGAATTTATGGAGAGCAGATGATCAGAAATGAAATGGGAACCTAGTGTGAAAGAGACCAATACAGAGATTGAAGATAAAAGTGGAATTCACATCAAATGCCCAATAGAAAACAGGTTAGGGGCTAGGCAAGTGGCTCAGTGGTAGAGCGCTTGCCTTGCATACATGAGGCCCTGGGTTCGATTCCTCAGCACCACATAGCAAAAAATACAAACCTGGAAATGGTGCTGTGGCTCAAGTGGTAGAGCACTTGCCTTAAGCTGAAGAGCTGAGAGACAGGCCCAGAGTTCAAGTCCCACAACCGACAAACAAAAACATGGGAAAGAGGTTTGGATAAGGAAAGTAAGGGCGAGGAAGGTGGCTTAGTGGTAGAGTGGGTGCCTTGCATGCATGAAGCCTTGGGTTTGACTCCTCACAACCACAGGAGAGAGCTGGAAGTGCCGCTGTGGCTCAGGTGGTAGAGTGCTAGCTTTGAGCACAGAGAGGCTCAGGGACAGTGCCCAGGCCCTGAGTTCAAGCCCCAGCCAAAAAAAAAAAGTAAGTTTAAGACCTATGAGAAGTAAATAGTGAAGGGGGGGATGGGAGGGGGAAGGCAGACCCCTGACCACAGGGCAACCCCTAAAACCTGGCTCTTTCCCCGGCTCCGGGAAGGAGGCCTGTGGGATGCCCCAGGCCCAGCGCGCGCCCCTCCTACTACTCGCCCTGCCTGGGGCTCCCCTCTCCCTCACCCCCTCCTCACCCCCCCCCCCCCCCGTCTCTCAACTCGCTGCCCCCCTCCACGAACTGGGGAGACACAACCTCTCCTTCGACAGCCCCTCTCCCCGCTCCCCCGACAGCTACCAGGCCCATTTCCCTTCTCCCGCACCCCATCCCCCGCGCCGGGCGCCCACCCATTGCTCCAGGCTCCATCGGCCCCCAAGGGCTTGCATCCCAGGCTCCGAAAACGGCTCCAGCCCCACCCCCGTCCTCCATTGTACTTCAGCTTCCCCCCCCCCCGCCCCCCGTTTTCATTTAGGTCCCTTTCCCGTTCCTCCTCAGTCCTCTTGGCCGGTGCCCCGATCCCCCCCTCAGCCCCAAGGCCTGCGACTCACTTAGGCCCTCCCCCAGCTCCCACTTTCACGTCGGCCTCGCCCCTCGCCGGTCCCCAGGCTCCGCCCCGACCCGGCCGATGGCCACGCCCACGAGCCAAACACCACGCCCACCACAAATCGCGGCCACGCCTGCGTCTTCCAAGCCCCGCCCCCGCCGCGTCTATGACCGCGTCTCGAAGGCCCCGCCCCGCGTCTCCACGCGCCGGCCCCGCCCCCTCCGCGCCCAAGGCCCCGCCCCTGCGCCCCCGCCCGCGCCGGCCGCCATGTGACGGGAAGCAGCTGATGGCCTCTCCTGCAGGCGGCGGCGGCGGCGGGGCCGAGGCGGGGGCGCGGGGCGCGGGGGCGGCATGAGGGCCGGCGGCCCGGGGGGCTGAGGCGCCCGCCGCTGCGGCGGGCCGCGCGTGTCCTCCATGGAGGCCGGAGGTGAGTGCGGTGCTCCGGGCGGGGCCCCGGCGGGGTGCGCGCGCGCGGGCGTCCGGCTTTGTTTCACTTTCGCTGTCCGCGGCGCCGCCCCGCCCGCCGCCGCCGCCGCCCGCCGAGGCCGGGGGGGCTCGCGGGGGAGTGGGAGGGGGGCGGCCGCCGAGGCCCGGAAGGACTCACGGGGGAGCCGCTCGCCGCCCCGCCCGCGTCTCGGCTGCGTCCCCGCCCGCGGGCGGGTGGCCGCCGCCTCGCCTGTCCCTGGGAGCGGGGTCTCCGTGGACGCCGCCCCCGGGGGCGCGCGGCCCCTGGGGACCGGGTGACAGGTGGGGTCCCCGGGACTCCACTCCGCGGCCCTCACAGCTGTCACCGTGGGGAGCCAGTGAGGGGAGACCTCGCCCGCCCGGGCCGCGTCCCCGGGCCGGCCTGCGGGGGGGACGCCGAGGCCGGGGGCGCACGGAGCCCCCCCCCAGCCCCGAACCCCCTCCGCGCTGGGCTCCGCACGTGGCACCGGGGCCTCCTGGGGAGAGGCCGAATCCCTCCCAGAGCTGGGGCTGTATTCTAGGGAGTTTCCTTCGGAATGTCCCGCCGAGGCCAAGGCCCAGGGCTCGGGTTTGTTTCCCCCCACCGAGGGGTTCACATCTCAGCCCGACCTGGAGGGTTCCGGTGGCCGCCGGCTTGTTTAGCGTTGCGGGGAGGCCGGGGGGGGGGGGGGTGGCGGAGGAAATCGGATATTCCCCGGGGTGGTGTTCCTTTTTTTCCCCTTTTTTTTAATTTAGGAAATGACCGTTTCTTTGTTTCCAGGAGTCGAGCATTCAGTAAAAAAGGTGTGCAGAGGTAGCTGCTTTCCGTTCCCAGCTAGATAAGGGCTTTTCAGTAGGAGTTACCCCTGGAATTTTACCTTTTTTTTTTTTGTTTTTTTTTAAATAGCCCCTACTGTATTCCGGGATCTTAAGTTAGGTGAGGCTTTTATAGCTTCCTGCTCCATTGAAAGCCTTCTGTGACACTGGCTTCTGCTTTCCACCGGAGTCTCTGTACAGTGCTGGCTTTTTCCTCATGCTTGCCAGTTGTGTTTTAGGGGTGTGGGCGCAGATGCTGAGAGCTGCCAATCTAGTTTAAAAAAAAAAATTCATAGAGTAGGCTGGAATTTGAAGTTCTTTCCACATGGAATAAATAAAGCTGATTGTAAAGGAATACAATGGGCAGTAGTAGAAATCGTTATTGCAGCGGTCAGAATTCTTTTATTCATTCACCAAATGTTTATTGAAGGTTTATACTACCTGCTAACCCTCTAGGCTAATGCTGGTCAGTAGAAATATAATTGAGCCTCAGCTGTAATTTGAAATGTTGGGATAAGCCTCAAGGGAAAAAGAAACAGGTGCAATCAGTCCAAAAGCTGTATTTCTTCCCATCTGATACATCAACACCATTATCTCTTCTATTGGCTTCATTTATGTAACCAAATAAAGATTATTGGGATATTGCAGTCTCGTTCCAAGTCTTCACAATCTGATGGGTATTTAAAAACTTCTGTATCCTGTCTTCACAAAATCTGGTCTCAGATCTGGCATGAAGTCCTGGTAATTACCATGGGGCTGTGAAGAGAGGAAAGTTCAGGTGGCTTGCCTAAAAACAAAGCAAGCAGAGGTTTGGGTGATGGTTATAAAGAAACTTGAGTGTAACAGAAGTGATGGTGAGGCTGGGCACATCCTCTGGTGGAGCCTCGACCCTGCATGACATGATGTGCAGAACTTTCCAGGCTGGTAGAACAGTCGTGCAAAGGTCCTGAGGGAGGAAAAGCCACTGAGCTGCCCGCCAGCTGGAGTCTAAGCTTCTGTCTCTCTTAAGGCTAGGCATGTTGCCTGGAGACTTGCTCAGTAAAATGACTTTCCATTTAGCCTGGTTGTCCACACACATCCTGCTGCTTAATTGGAAAGGGTAGGGACTAGGGAAACATTAATTCAAAGTTACAAAACTCCAACGAAGAATAGTTCAGAGCTATTGTACATTATAGTGATTGTAGTTAATAACATAGTTTTTAACTTGAAAATTGCCAAGAATATATTTTCAAGTGTCCTCACCACAAAAGAATGCTAAGTATGTGAAGTGTATGCTAATTTGAGCCGTTTCATAATGGCTCACTATAAACATGAAATCTTAGTTGAAAAGAAGCACCACTGACTCACTTAGGTTATCAAATCAAAATTATTGGATTATTTGGTGGCCACTCTCCCTTGGGGCAAGATATACCTGACTCTCCCTGAAAAAGGACTGGAGGCTCGGCTGAAGGACCTGAGTTCAAGGCAGATGGAACACCAGCCAGGCAAGCTCTGTGTCTGGAGTTCAAATCCCAGTAACACCAAAATAGCCAAAAAAGCATCTGTGGCATTTAGGAACCCAGAAGGGCCAGTGCAGGTACTGTCTGGGAGTGGAGCTGGGTCCCCTCAGCTCTGTTATGTAGGTACAGCCCTGGTTGGAGTTGCACTGGTGCTTTGTTTTGAACTTGCACTGATTACGGCTCTCTATTCCAGTAGTCATTTATATGGTTTTTTTTGGTCAGTTGTGGGGCTTGAACTTTGGGCCTGGGCGTTCTCCCTGAGCTCGTCAGCTTTAGGCCAGCACTCTCCCATTTGAGCCATAGTGCCACTTGTGGTTTTCTGGTGGTAAAAGAATCTCACAGACTTTCTTGCCCAGACTAGCTTTAAACCCTGATCCTCAGATCTCAGCCTCCTGAGTAGCTAGGATTACAGGTGTGAGCCACAGCACCTGGCTCCAGTAGTCATATTTAGTTTGGGTCCAGACGCCCAAGGGTCGAGTCAGAGTTTTTTTTTTTTTTTTTCAGCTCCTAGTTTCCTAAACTTTAAATAGCTGAGAGTTTTAAGTACTAGAAATAGAGTATGGATTCTGGGTAGGACTGGTTTGAGCCGGATTTTATGGGGAATACTGGCATTTTGGAAGCACTGTCATAGGTTAAAGGCTTCATTTTCCGACTTGCCAAATCCTTGCTGGTCCCCTGGCATCACTGCTCCCATGGTTGGGGAGACACTTGACACTCAGTAGGAGTTATGTGAAGGAGCTGGGAGGAGGGTGGGAGGAGGTGGGGAGTGTAGGAAAGGCTTGGGAGGCATTGTCATTTAAGCCAAGGGGGAGGC